CCTGTTCTTGCTCGCACTTGGGAGGGTGCTGTCTCTGGCCAAGGACCGGAAGTCACAAGGTTGAGACAGTGTCGCCTTATTTCTGGGATGGTGCCTCTAGTAAAAGCGACCCAAATCCCCTACAGAAGGCCTTGCCGCGTTGTCCCCTCCTCCCACTTTCAGCTCAGGACTGTCATTGCTCTGCAGAACCAGCTCTCTGTCGTGCACACATGCATTTCATGGCTCCCTGCTGCCCGCTTTGCCTCTGGGGAGCTCGCTGTGCACTGTTAATTGTTTTACTAGCCTCACCTCACTCTTGGGTAGCACTCAGATGAACTGTGAGGCCAGGGCGACTTAAAGTGATGATGTGTGTGTTTGTGTGTGTGTGTGTGTATGTGTATGTGTTTGTGTGTGTATGTTCCATTGCTAGAAACCTCTATGTATATATGTATATATGTGCATGTATATATGTATTAATGTAAACATATTTTTACATAAATACACACACACATATATTTTATATATATATATACACACACACATATATATATATATAAGAATTATTTATTTAATTTTATTTATTATTATTTTTAAAATTTTTACCAGAAAGAGAGAGAGGGAAAGTGAGAAAGCAAGTCCAGGACTCAAACCACAGTCAGCCATGTGGGTCACCATGCCACCTGCTGGCTTGGTTTTAAGATCCCCAGGGCATTTTACGGTGTAGCCAGTGCTGTCTAATCAGAATCCAATGAGAGCCACATATGCACTTTGAAGTTTTTCAGTTGCCATGTTAAAAAAAATAAAAAGGTTAAAGCAAGTGAAATGAATTGTAATTATGTATTTAACTCAATATGGTATATTCAAAATATCATTTCAGCATGTTATCAATTAAAATTTTTTTTTCTTTTCTTTTTTTTTTTTTCTTTTTGGTGGGATGGTCATACTGCAATCCTTTCTCCTCCATCCTCCTTTTGGGATTTTGGCATGCACACACATGAATGGGTGTGAGTTTTAAGCTCCTGGGTCTGGAACTTGAACTGCAGTTGGCCATGTGAGGGTCCAGCAGCATAACTGTTACGCCATCTGCTGGTCCCGAACACAGATTTTATACAATAAATGTTGGTGGAATAAAGTATTGTAATAAAGTAACAATGTGGAGAGATGTTTTGATTACCATAGATACCAGTCTTAGGGGCAGGACTGGGCCATGGCAGGTCCTGGATGGAAGGCAGAGCTGACTCAACTGCCTTTTTGTGGTCTGGTTACTGAAGATTATAAGCACATATCTTAGTCAGTTATTGCGGCATAATGCTGTGTAACAAACCACCCCTCAACTCGGTTGCTTCCGATAAGTACTTCATTCTTGTTCTCAGGTCTGTGGATTGACTGGGTTTGGCTGCTCCAGCTGGGTGGGACTGAGCTTGGCTCTAGGCCACAGGTGTTCTATACCACGTTTCTTATTTCGAGTCCCAGCCACAGAGGTAGAGTATATTATTCCCATGGCAGATATTAGGGGTACACAAGGATGAGGTGAAACATTGCACTTTTGAAACCTTGGCTTGGGATTCTCATTGTAACATCTCTTGCAATGCATTGCCCAAAGCAAGTCATCAGTCAAGCCCAGTCACTAGGGCAGGTGTGTGTGTGTATGTGTGTGTGTTTGTGTGTCTAGGGGTGGGTAGGTAAAGTGCTTACTTGTTGAACAATAATCCAGACGGTGACACTATAACATGCTTCCCTGGTGATGGGTGGTGGAACTCCTGCCTCGGAAGACCCATCCCACTTCTGGGTGGTGTTGGACTTCAAGCCTGTTTCTCAGTGTAAGAAGCAAAGTAGTTCGAAGGTTTGATAGCCAGAGCTGGCCCGCTGCACCGAGGTTGCTGCTCCTGTGTGTGACATTGGCTATCTTGTTTTCTTCTACCCTTTTGACTCTGTGAATTGGTTAACATAGGAATTCATGCTCAAGTTTCCTCTTGCTCTCTAGGGAAGCACTGAAGGGTTGTCAGCTCCTGAAATAGAGCTTACCCCAACTGCACAGTCTAGGCAGACTGCATGTACACCTGCACTGGGGCACGCACACAATACCGCTTCTTTATTTTCCTTGTCAAGGTGAGCATGTGGCTGTCCCCAGAGACCAGCTTTAAGGTGACCGCCAGCCCATCCCTCTCAGCTGTGCACCTTTTGCAGAGCCACCTGCATGGGAAACCTTGTTGATATTGAAGGAAAGGGACCCACCCTTTTACTGTCACATTCATGACCCTCAGCTCCACTGGGCCAGACAGTAGAGGGGCTTCTCGTGTACGGGCGGTTCCAGAAAAGACTTGACAAGCCGAGGGTGGCGGGAGAGCAGGAAGGGGAGCTGGAGCGTGGTCAACTGACCATGCATCTTGCTTAGGCCTTGCAAATTCACTGCCATTCCAGAGACCTTGCCAGAGACCATGGCTGAGCTCCAGCCAGGGGCTTGGGTCATTTTCAGAGGAACCTGCTTGCAGCAATTGTGCTTGTAAAGATACTGCTTCTAATGAAGCAGAACGGAACTCCTGGCCCACTTTCCTCCCGCCTGCAGCCTGCAGGTCTCTGTGGGCTCTTAAGGAGCACGGCCCTGGCCGTGAACAGGACAGTTTTACTCTGAAATAGACCAACCCTGCTTTTATTTCTTCAGGGTTCTCTGGTTAGATTTGGCTGATTTTAAGGATCTCTGTCTCCCACTGGGGCGCAGGGGAGTAAGTGGACAGTGGAACACTCTTCTAGTTGCTCGGGTCTCTTGGGAAGCAGGAGCTTTGAACCCAGTTTGAACCTCTGAGGGTTTGAGTTCCTTTTCTCTTGGCACAGTATGATTTCCTGTTTCGAAGAAAAAAAAAAAAAAA